GAATATCCATGTATGCATCTTCCAACTGAGTCTGTCTGTTACGGCCAAGGCGGATGTACGGGTACAGCAGGATTATCTTCGATTGAATTGACGTGTTTACCTAATATACATAGTAGTTTATCTGATGAATTGACGTGTTCACTAATATACACAGTAAGTTATCTGATGAATTGATGTGTTCACTAATATACATAGTAGTTTATCTGATGAACTGATGTGTTCACTAATATGCACAGTAAGTTATCTGATGAATTGATGTGTTCACTAACATACACAGTAGATTATCTGATGAATTGACATGTGTTCACTAACATACACAGTAAGTTATCTGATGAACTGATGTGTTCAATAACATACACAGTAAGTTATCTGATGAATTGATGTGTTCACTAACATACACGGTAGATTATCTGATGAATTGACATGTGTTCACTAACATACACAGTAGTTTATCTGATGAACTGATGTGTTCACTAATATACACAGTAAGTTATCTGATGAATTGACATGTGTTCACTGACATACACAGTAAGTTATTTGATGAATTGACATGTGTTCACTAACATACACAGTAGTTTATCTGATGAACTGATGTGTTCACTAATATACACAGTAAGTTATCTGATGACTTGACATGTGTTTGTTCAGTTATTCTTCATCAAGCATGTTGTAAAATTGGATTACTTAACACTTAGCTTATGTGAATCTTCAGTGTTCTTTGCTTTGTGATATATTTATGCCTTGTATTTCTTATTCTAGCTTTATCACACAGTTTGTTTCAACTATAAATTCTTGAACTCACTTTTTAGTTAAAAGAAACTTGGTGCCTTTTGGTTAACTTCTGCTCACGTGCTCTTTTTCATCCATGTTACAGCCCTATTTCTGCTGTGTTTTACTAACAGTGCTTTTCAGGTAATTAACTAGGCTGTTTATTGGAAATACAAGTCAAGAACTGTGAGGTCATTTACTTCACTGATCCTGTTTTTGGCTTTTGCTTCTTTGGATGTAGGTTCATTAAGTGAAGTTGTTTCAAACATAGGTTATGGTAGAATATAATCTATTTCTGCTCTCTCACTCTGATTGTTTTTGTAAATTACTTTAGGCTTTCTTTTATCCAACTAATCTCTTTATTGTACGTTAACACTCATAATAGGTCACCTAAATTTCAGTCATTATTGCATGTGTTATCATGCAAGGACCTTGTGGATCTGAAGGATCAGGCTTAACTAACTTTCTCTACAGGAATATCCATGTATGCATCTTCCAACTGAGTACAAAAATTAGGATTCTGTCAAACTCACGTTCTGAAGAACTTGCAGTTTTTGATTATTCCTTTGCTATTTGCTTGACTTTAATTTTATTTCTGCCTTCTTTCTTCATGTTTTCAACTGTTTTGTACTTCATTATTGCTCCAGTGTGAAAGCTCTCTCCCATTAATCCTGACAAATTTATTGAAGAAATAAAAGAGGACAATGTTTGCAGTCCTACACACAGTTTATTCAACTTTTTATGCTATTTACCAGCAGTAAGTTTTTTGCATTTAAATATTTTCCTTTTATTTTTCTGTGTGTTTATTGTGGCTTGCCAGAATGTGAAACCTCCAATATATATTGTACATTATGTGTTATTAGAAACACTGTAATGTGAATCTTGGATTTTCATAGAATATTTGTGAAATTACTTGTCAAATCTGAAAATTACAGGCAAAATTTTAAGAACTTCAGTTTTGTTTAGAAAATGATGATCAAAATGTTGTAGGCAAAATTATTCACATGTAAAATATTCATTAAAATTAAGCTACTTGTAAATAGGTGTTAAATATCTCAATAGTGTCTTTATATGTAAAATGTGAGTTACAGCCAGTTCAAGTTGAGGATATTAAAGCTAATAGCAATGAGGTTGAATCTATTTGGGTTTCTGTTAGTAGTTATAGGGGAGTGCCTTTTAGTTGGAATTTGTTACAGACCACCAAATAAAATTCATGAAATTAATGAGAAACTCTACAGCAAGATAAATAATTCAACTATTAATGAGGTTATAATTATGGGATATTTTAATTTCAAGCATATAGATTGGGAAACGTTAAGTGTCAAATCATGAGACATGTTTTTACAACTGTTCTGGATTATTTTCTCCACCAACTGATCAGAGAACCTACCAGGAACAGTGCTATATTAGATTTATTGTTACCTTCTAATACAGAAATGGTTTATAGGGTGGAGACTGGGGAACATCAAGGTGCAAGTGATCATTGCTCAATTAGATTTGATGTTTTGCTGCATATGGAAATGAGGAATAATGAGATTTTGGTTCGAAATTTCAAAAAATAGTTTTGAAGGTATGAGACGAGAATTATTTGCTGTGAATCAGGCAACTGAATTAATTGAAGATGCTGGTCAAATGTGGAAAAATATTATAAAATAAATTCTTAAATATTCAAGATAGATTATGTTCCTTATAGAAAACAAAAGGATGGTCGCAAGTAAAAAATCAAGTTGGTTCACAAAGGATAAAATTAAAGAAAAGCATTATAAATATAAGTATTTCAAATTGACTGTAATAATGAGAGACTTGGAAGATTGAAGATCAAGAGAGTTTGTTAAATAGGAAATTAAAAAGTATATGAAAAAGATTAGTTGAAAATGTGAAAATTAATAGTAATGATTTCTTTAAATACATTGAAAGCAATATGTTAAGATGAGAGTGGAGCCTTTGAGGAATGATAAGGAAGACTCAAACTGATGATCATGTCATGGCTGGGTTATTAATTCTACTTTTTCTTCAGTTTTTACTAACACAGTTTAGAACATGTTACTACAGTTAATAAGTAAGAAATGAGAAAATTAAAAATTTAAGTGTTTTTTATCTTTTCTGTAAAAATATAAGGGAACCTTTCTTTTTAATGTTTTTAACAGTTTACACCAGAAAAATTAGAGATTTTTGTTTTTACAGGCTGATTTCCATAGTTAACCAGGAATTTACAGATTTTTTATACCAGACTGAATCAGTATTTTAAACTCTACATATTTTCAGGGTGTCTTTTTTTTTCCTTACATCCTGTTTTTTCTAGGTTTTTGCTGAATATAGCAGATATAGTGTGACTGCCATATCACATTTTTCTTTACTTTCACTTACAACGTCTTGTGATAACTGAACTCTGACATACTTTTGTTATTTAGTGTCTAAGGCTTTGTTTTGATTGACAAGACTGACCCTGGATCATTCCACAGCTCTCACATGTTCCCTGTATATATAATAGATCTCTGGACACTTCCCTTCATGCACACTTGTCTAGTAAATGCAATCTTATCCACCAGTATCTTTTTTGATTAAAAAATAATGAAACTTTGCTTTATACAGTGCAATACAATGGTGTAAAGACTGTCACTGAAATATCTAGTGCATATATTTGATGGAGCATTAATTACGTATGTATACTGGAAGTCAAAATAGTAATTAAAAACAATAATATTTATTGCATAATATTCTTTTCTGTAATAAACTTATTTTGTTTTAAAATTTCAGGAGCATTATTTTGTGTGGGTGGTAGAGGAATACCGGAAGAGCCATTTGCAACTATTGAGTGTTATAGCTGGCTTCATAACCAATGGTTCAGAATTATAGAAATGACTACCAGAAGACGCCATGTAGGTTGTGCTTCAGCAGGAGGTATTTTTATCTCACTTTTAATTACAATGTTTTTGTTTATCTCCTTAGAAGAAGATCAATAATAAAGAAATGAGGAACCCTACCAGCATTCAAAAAAATGTGGAGTATTAACTTGTAACTTTTAATCAGGTTGTGGTAGGTTTCTTAATATTTATAGGTATAATGTTTGTATAAGCTCTTGTTTCAAAAAAAAAAAAGAATTCTAAAAAAATAAATCACCTCCACACACAAAAATGCTACTTCCCTTGTGTGTCTCCCTATGAGATTTGCAAGCCACTAACCTTGAGCTAACTCCCACCTAAATTCATGTGTTTAACATGAACTGCACTGATGCATTATGATATCAACATGTGGCAATAGCTCTCCACCAGTAGGAGGGGAACACAACCTCCATGTACAGTAATTTCCCATATGCACTTTCATTCTTTTCCTTGGTACTGCATTGAACAAGTGTGCTCAAAAATTCTTGTCTGGGCTCAGTTTAAGGAGATTTGCATTGGTTAACAAAACTTTAGTTTCTGATACGATTACTTACCTCTGCTTACAGTTACAGCTATTCTCGAGTTGACTGCCCTCTAGTGCACAAAGTTTTGCTCACTACTAGCCTTGAAACTTCCATCTGATTCCTTGTGTATACCACATGGTTCAGCTACATTTAAGCATGTGAATTAGCATGCGACAGTCCTCCATTGATAGGAGTGCGACAAACCTTCCTATCACAGCTGACTCCCTCTGTGCAGTTGAACTCAAGCTTCACTTCTTGATATGGCATGACAGTGCTTAAGACCTAGTGTTTAATTTCAAACTTTTTTTTTGCTTCTTTAGTGGATTTTGAAAATATTCAGTTACTAATTTTCACATTTCAAAGTATTGTTTGTAATCCACTATCGAGTTGGATTTCTTTATTTAATTGTGAATTATATTTCTTACTCCATTACTAGTAGTCAGTCAATTCTTATGAATTCACAATTTAATATTATGACTACAGATGATACCAGCATTCTAAAGCCTGTGACAGTGGCTGCAGGTGAAGAAAGTGTCAGCTGCAGTTTGTCGGGAGATGGTTTTTTCATGCAAGTTGAAGGATTTCCTTATCTATAAACAATTTTGCTATTACTTAAGGTCTTAGATTAAGATGATGCAGACTTGGACAGCCTCCTCCCCCCCCTCTTGCGTTGCTGTGCAGACACATTTTCAGCCTATTGAAGCACCTAGACTTCAGTCACTATTTTTAGACTTGATATCACAGGTATGTTTTGTTTTTTGTCTTTGTCACTCATATCATTTGATCCTCCCCTTCTTTATTAACTGCAGCACCTAGTTCTGAGTTTTGTTTTTTTCCCCTTTGCTTTATATTGGGGTACAAGTGAAATGTTTTGCAGATCAATTACATGCAGGGGATACTATGCTCTGCCTCCCACATACTGCAGAGACTCGTGCATTTGCATATCGTCGTTCAACAAACCCTTGGGTCAGTCGAGTTTTTGTCAAAAGGACTCTCCATTGTTTTCCTCACACCTCGTGCCTTATCCTCTGTCCCATTTCTTCCCCCCTCCCCCTCAAAATACTGTTTCCTACCAGTGTCTCACAGAACCAGTTCAAGACCTTCTCATCAAGGGTGTCATTGAAATAATTTCTCCTATACTTCCAGGATTCTATTCCTGGCCTTTTTCATCCCCAAGAAGACCTGATATTGTCATCCTGTTTTTGATCTCTTCTATCTGGATCACTTCCTTGACGTGCTTCAGTTCACAATCAAATCCTACCTATTCTTGAGATGGGCATTTCTTCCAGGGCTTTGGATGACAAAAATCAATGTGTCCAATGCTTATCTTCACATCTCTATTGCTTGGGCTTTATGTCACTCTCTATGTTTTTTCCATGAAGATCACATTTATCAATTTCGAGCTCTTCCTTTCTGGCTAGCATCGGCACCCTTTGATTTCTGTCAAGTGGTCTGGTCATTTGTCCGATTCCTACATTTTCACGGGCTCAATTTCCATCTTTATATGGACAACTGGTTTCTCTGGCTCCATCCTTTGCAGAGTCTTCCTCACAAACCCAACTTCTCATCAGAGAAGCTGCTTGAGTTGGTTGGTTTATCAAGGTGGAGAAGTCCGCCCCACTCAACATCTTGTTCATCTGTGGGTGTTTTTTTTCAACTCATATCTCAGTTGAGCCCAGACTTCTCTTCGTCTGTGAACCATGGAGTTTTTTCAATTCAGAGGGCACTATCAGCACCTTCTCTAGTTGTGGGAGAGGTTCTGTTTGTTTTGAGGACTGAAGGCTCTTATCCCTCTGGGCCATACCCACATGTGTTCCTTGCAGTGGATACTACAAGATCAATGGCACCTCATTAGGGACCCTCTGGATTTACAGAAACCCCTTCCTACCTCCCTTCAGTCTGACTTTCTCTGGTGGTTAGACAGGGGCAGCATGACAGTGAGATATTGGAGGTACCTTTTCCTCCTCCCCATCCGGATCTCCACGTCTTCACAGATGTCTCAGGAGGAGTTAGGTCTTCACATCAACCTTTTGGTTTTACTTGCTGTTCATCAGGCAATGGTTCATTTTCTGTCAGCTCTGCAAGGCATGAAAGTTATGATTCTCAACAGTTGTCTCTTACGTCACCAGTCAAGAGAGCACTCTGTCCCGATCTTTATGTTACCATACTCTAGATCTCCTCTTCTGGGCTCACAGCCATCAAATTTGTTTCTTGGCTTGTCACATACTGGGTGCCCTCAATCTTGTTGTGGATTGTTTGTCCCATCCAAACAGGATTCTACCCACCGAGTAGTCTCTTGACCCCAGGTCTGATTCTTTCCAACTGGGTGCATTTGCCACTCATTTAAATGCCATACATCCTCTCTTTTGGCTCCAGTTCCACATTATTTAACTTAGAAGGATATTTTCCTTTATACGTACTCTCCCATCTATCTTCTACCCTGAATAATTTCTCTCATCCAATCCATTCCATGTCAGATACTTGATGAAGGGCTATTGTTGAATGGTGACATCATCATGCACTAGTGCAGTTCACATGAATTTAGGTGGGAGTTAGCTCAAACCTAGTAGCATACAAATCTCATAGGCACACACACACACACAAGGGAAATAATAATATGTAGAGGTGAGTATTTATTGGAAATACATTTTTCAGATTAGAAAAATGTTAATTCACTTTTCAGTGAAGTTTCAACATGATTATATATTTTCAAGTGTATAGCTTTGAAAAGTTAGTTTATTCAATTTTCAATTCATTTTAATGCTAGTAGTTTTAATTTCAAGCAGTTATGTACTTTAGCCTTGTAAAAAAATAGAAGCAAACAAGTTATGGAAGAGATTATATTTATGGGATTAGACAATAGAAACAAATTGTCAATAATTTTGAATTTTTAAATTCTTATATACTGATCTTTAATTATCATACTTAATTTCCTTTTTTAATTAAAAATGTTTGGTTTCAGATATTAGTTAGTGTTCAAAGAAGCAGTGGCTTGAAAAGCTGTGATGTTTGTACTATTTGAAGCAGTGTTGATGTAGAACATTTTTATTCTCATTTAAGCCTATAAAATAAGTGCTACATAACTTAATTTTGCATCATTATTGAATTTGTCTAGAAACTTGTATTTAAAAAGGATAATATATTGTGGAGTTTGATCATATAAAACATATTCTGTTTAAAAGTGTTCAAATTTTGAAAGTGAATTTGATTAATATGAAATGTACACATAGTTTGGTTTGTATGTTTTGTGGTTTCAAACTGTTAAAGCAGTTTGCAATACTTTTTTTATGAGTTACATTCAGTTGAAAATTTTCTTAGCATTTCTAAGAAATTGAAAATTCTACTTTTATATTCAAAATGTTTTAGTTCAGATTCATTTTATACACATTTGCAAAAAAACAACTAACCACCAAAAAGTAGTAAAATGTATGTACATGTGGGTAATGAAATTCTTGCCCTAATTAGACATAATTAAGAGACATTTACACAAACAATATAGGCTCAGTGATGATGTTGAAAATGTTGGAAACCATAATCAAGAATACATGTTCATGTATTTTTTATCTTGCTTTTCTATGAATACATATATGTTTATCTCCTATAAATATGTAAAATCTGTTTTTTCATGTAACAACAGGAAAAATATATGCAGTTGGAGGTTGTGATGAAAAACAACATCTAGCCAGTGGAGAAGTTTTTGATCCAGTTACAAACAAGTGGACGTTACTCTCACCAATGCTGACTCCCAGGTAAAGTTTGAAATTCATTTCTTAGTTATTAATCTTGCTTATTTCAATCAGCATTTTTGTTTTTTAAAAATCTAGAGATCATGTAAGATTGTCTAGTTTTTTGTACGTTTGGCTGTATGCAGGAATATAATATGGGATTTTCACAAAAAATAACAAAAAAGTATTTCAACAAAAATTAATTCAAATAATATACATTTATTCATAAATATTTAAAAATGTATTGTTTGATATTATATATAAGTGATTCAAAAAATGAAATTCCTTCTCCCCCCTTTTTTATTTCCAAAAAAAAATATTAAGAAACATGAGCTACTGAAGTGATAAAGCAATTTAAGAACATTTTGAACACCCAGGGCTGGATTATGGTCTTAGTCGGTCAAGACACATCATAAGTATATAAATTATTACTTCTAGTACTTTTACTTATGTCAGTTTGCTGCCTTTATAATATTATTTATGTACATCTATACATGTTATTGGAAAACAAAAGCTAAATTTCTATTACTTACTAAGTTAGTTCAAGTGAAAAACAGATCTTTTATTACTATTGCAAAAACATCTGAAAAATACATGAAATTTAAATATCGACTTTTCGTGACTTTTGATGTGCAAACTTGTATATGATATCATTAAAAGAAATTCTGTATATTAACTCAAACGAAAGCAGATCATAGTCAAATATGCCCCATAGTCGATCATTGACAGCTATTGACTGATTTCAAATTTTAAAATGGCCTCTCTCCTTCACAGTTGGTTCAAAAGATTGACAAATACATATAAAAATAGACATTAGGAAAAAAATTAGTCAGTTTATGGTTAAGCAGAAATTTAGCATATCTAGAGCTGTTCCAAAATCTGAATACTTGGAAAACATTATAAACTCATCAACAAAATCTTCTTCAAGATCATTTGCATCAAAAGTGACAAATTCTTTTGATCTGCGAGTACTTACAGCTTCACTTAGTTCCTTGTACTGAGTTAGAAAATCAGATCTTTCGGTGATTTGAGGGTAGACTTTTCTTCATTTATGTATTTTCATCTATGATGATTGGATATGTGTCAGTATGAAACTTCTGTAATCCAATTCTGATTGGCTCATCTCCATTGCCTTTATCAAATAAGTGCTTTATCTTTGGGATTTGTTTAGTTTCATTTGAGTATTCTGTGGACAATACTAATGCCTTGGCTTTTTTTTTCAAATGAGTCAAATTTGTCTACTTCTAACATTGAAGATAAATACAAATGCAATGCATCATAGCTTTGTACCATAGAGCATATTTCAATGCCTGGTTCTTGGAAAACTTTGTTCACACTATTTGTGTTATGTAAAATATCATTCCATACAACAAATAGAAGAGCAGTGTTCAGTTTAATTAACTTATTGACTAAAGATTTGGCTTAATAAACTGCAGCTGTGTTATTCTGCTATGTCAGTTAAGGCCTTATTGATTTCTGTGTAGTTCAGTGTCATTACTTTGGTGACTTCATTGAGCATACCACTGGATTTTGGACAAGCTTTTCACAGCATAAATCTTTTTGGGCAAGTTATGCATCAATATTGACTATTTATGAGGAGAAAGTAACAGAAAATTGTACAATCAGCATATCAGAATACTTTACTGCTTTATTACAACATTCAGTTGTTTCAGTCCCGACTAGATTCATACTGTAAGCTGCACATGGTATCCACTTAACCATAGTATTGACTTCTGAAAATCATGATTGAACCCCACATTATGTTCCTGCCACATTGTTTGCATTGTCATAACACTGACCGTGACAATAATATTAATGTCATTTGACTCCAGAAATTCTCTGGCTGTACTGAAAATATATTTTGAATCATGTTTCTCTAAAGTTCAACAAGAGTTACACCACTTCTTAAGTAGCATATAATTGTGGTCAGTTGATCAGTTTGACCTATGTGAGTCATGGAGTCAATACTAAAGAGGAGTATTTAACTGCTCTTATTTTTGCAATCATTGTAAAATGTACTTTTAAAGCTAAGAGTTGTATGAATTCATCACAAATGGTGGAAGAGATATAAGAAACTGTGCCTGTACCTTTGTTCAACACATTCTCCGTTTGCAACTTTAACAACAAAAACTTCTTTAATTAACATAGCATCTCTTTCAGTCATTTTTGTTGTATCTCACTATTGGTTAGATTTTTGTTAATATTTTGGTTGGGTAGATTTTGAATAAGATGGTTTGTAAGGTCAGATGACAAAGCCCAATCAACCTTTAACAAATTCAAAATTTAGTTAAGCATCTTTACTGTCAATGTATGACAATAAATTTGCCATTAAAATTGTTTTTAATTCGAATTTTAATATTATATAAGTTTTAATTTCATAACTTAAAAGGATATATTAGAAAATTTGCATAATATTCATTCTTGTGTATCACATGACTCTCCATACTCTGAACTGTCCATTTTCAGTTATCTTCCACCCCATAAATGATCTTCTGAGTTTAACATAATCTACAGGTTTATAGTATAGATGTCTGAGATGGTGTAATTTTATAATATCCAATCTTACTTTCATACTACGATATAAACCAGAAAATCTAATCCACTTTCCACACCCACCTATGACAACCTCTTTTTCACCAAATGTCAATAATTTTCTCCATCAGTTGCTTCTTGATTATTTATAACCAAGAGAAAGGTGTTTTAATATTCTGAATTCATTATAATGCTAAATTGTTCTTGCAATGGCTTATGAGTTATTATTGCACCAGTTTATTTTTAACTATTGGAGAGAAACCATTAACCAGCTAAAGGTATTACTTTAAGTATGTTATAGCTGAATTAGAAAGTCAGATAAATTATAACTTTTATAGGACACTGTCTTCTTCATGTGTGTTATTATTTTGTATTCTAAGTTACATATTTGAACTAAAAAAACAAACTCTGAGATGCTTTTGAGGTAGACATTAACATGAGTGCAAAAAAACTTGAAAACGTGACTTCACTGGTAAGTACTACATTTATTCATTTTTTATGTGTATTTTTTTATTTCTGTATTGTAATAAAAGCACCTAAAATGTCAAAATTTGAAATTTATTAGGTTAAATATGAAAAAATAAATTAAAAAGTAAATAAAAACCTAAATAGCACAAGCATGTCTGCATAGGTCAAATGTTTAATTGAAAATATCATAAGTCGGTGCACTGTGACTAGAGTGCCTAGTACTTAACCTGGTACTGCCCATTGTTCTCTAGCTCCTGATACTTACCTGTACAAGGGTCAGTGATCCAAAAAAGGACAAAATTTAAAAGGAACATCTGAACAAGTTTCCTTTAATGCTCAAATTAACAATATTGTCCTCAGCTGTGCCTATTATTTTAATCTTATAATTACTGTTGGAATCTATATAGGTCCATCAGCTTTTTAAGCATACGTTTCAAAACTAAATTGTTCATTAGTCCATGAATATTGGTGAAAGAGCCCCTAATAACATAAATGTTGCAAAAAATGTAAACAAAAATATCATCAATATCACAGTAATGCCACTAGTTACTGTTGGAATCTCCCCCTATGTATTTTACAAACAAAATGAGGGATTTAATCAATTTTATTTGGTCAATCTTTTCATAACTAGGGTGACCATATGTCCCATTTTTTGTGGTTTGTGTCAGTGTCCCAAGAAAAGTTCTTGGGATGCACAAAATGTCCCAGTTTTATGATAAAGACATCAAACTTTCAGTCACATTGAATCACAAATGTAATAGGTCTACCTGACCTAGGTCAAGCTCATGGTTGTAACGTGCACTCTCCTGCTGCCAGATTCACTTGAAAGTTCTATCTGTGCATGGTGAGAAACCCAGATCTGAGTATGGAGACAGTTAAGGTAGTGCTTATCGTCAAAACACACTTTACACAGTCCTATTGAAGTTTATGACTGTTTAAAAAATGGATATTTCTGGATTATAAGTTAGGTTTGTGTTCAAAAGCTCATTCTCCAGCCACAAATTCAAAGGTAGTTCTAAACAATTAAAGGTTCATCAGGTGGCGTTCAAGCAGTGTTGGATTTATTTATTTTTTTTGTTATCAGAAGCCATTTGAAAATGCTTGAATAGAAATCACAAATTAAAGTCCCTTGGTGGGACAGTGGTAAGTGTACAGACTTACAATTCTAAAATCTGGGGTTTGATTCCCTGTGGTGGATACACCAGATAGCCCAATGTGGCTTTGATCTAAAACAAACAAATAACAAATTAAATGTCATTTACCTGGAAATTTTGATCTTTTTATTCATATAATGCCCATTACTTAAACAAAGGTAGTTGTATTAAAAAATAGTATCATCAAAACTTTATAGATAACTTCTTTCATGCATTGGAGCAGACTATTATGATGAAACTGAAGCATGGTTATGTTTAGTGGTTGCATTGCTACCATTGAATAAACTAAATGCTTAGTGTACAAGACATAAGGAAAGTATTATGGTTGAATAAGTATGAAAATTAAAATATATGCTAACACTAATATTTTAATGTTGGAAAAGAAGCACCAGCGTAACTACACTTTCCTCCTCCTCATCAAAGCATATGTTTAACTAATGATAGTGTTGTTAAAAAAAAAGTGACTTACAATAACACACTTTTTTGTAACTTTTTGTCATAGTTGAAGGTCTGTATTTATTTTCTAATCAAATTGTTAGTGTCATTCTCTTCTCTTTTGCTGCATATTTTTTATTATGTTTAATAGGTATGTTTGATTAATCAACAGTTTTATGTTAAAACAACTGCAGTTGTTAACCTGCTTGGAACAGCGGCTGTTAAATAAAGATTTGTGTTGTTTAAATCAGCTGCAATAGGGTGCTCTTGCAATGGAGCTTACTGTATGTAGCTATATGAGTATTTCACATAGCATCAAATATGTGTACATGAATAACATGCATTTTTTTATTTTTGTCTCAAAAAATAAACGTGATTATTGTTCTATATATTTTACTTTTAAACAACACACAAATGTTTAATTTGGTTTGTGTGGATTAGATGTAAAAGAAAGTGGTTTTCAACCAAATATAAACTGGTAATATATATATTACTAATTATTCAAATTAGTACAATTGATGATTCAAACCTTCATTCAATAATTTGTTCTAAACCTTTGTAGGTCAAAAGTTACCCTCTGATACAGCCATAGTACTAGGTAAAAATGAAGGGATCTCGGAAATTAACATGCTGACAGTTTTATAAATTTTTTACATTTTAGCAGTTATACATTTACATTTGGAAACTATAATCTATTGAAGATAATGATATACTAATGTCTCGCATTTTCACATTGATACTGCTTCTCATATTACTATATGCCAAACCTTTTATTGATATAATTGAGACTCCAGAATGTTGGCCATTGATGATATAAATCTAGTGTACATGAAAGATGAAAGTAGAATTAAAAGTAGGCTTAAATTTCATTTTTAAACATGCATCTACATCATATACTGTTCTATCATTTGCTTGAAACATTTACTGTACTGAGAAGCTCCTCAGTTTTTCAAGTCCTATAAGACAAAGTCAAAATGTCTGACCTATTGTTTGAAAGCCTTTTTTTATTTTTTAGTCTCTGCATTAAGTTAGAAGTTTATTGGTTGTGCATTTTATTCATTACAGCCATGCTACTTCAATTTTATGTCTTTGTTTTTTTTTGTTGCTTTTTCAAAGACAAAAAAAAATTCAGAAAAAAATATCTGAATAGAGATCTTATATTTGCATGAGTTATAAGTGGAATCAGCTGTTATATGTTAATAAAGTCTTAGATGAAATATGTAATTATTTATTAATAGTTATGACTTTCTAATTTCATGTTATTGGTCTGTTGAATTTTAAAATGATACTGCATATTGTTTATGTTTTAGGTTTTTTTTCTAAGTAATTCTACTTATTTGTTTCACCATCTTAACTTGTAATATAAAAAAAAAACTATGGATAACTTATTTTGATAACAAATTAAAAATAATATTCAATAATTTGAGATGGTTGTTTAACAACACTAAGATGTCTCGACTATGGTGTATTATTTTTTGTTAACCATCTGTTCTTTCTCTTAACAGCAGTGTAATTTTTGTACACTGTATTTCAGTATTTGGCTTATGAATTTAATGTGTAATTGAAAGTACATCTTAAACCTTTAAAAGTTTATAAATCAATTCTATTTCCATGAATTTAACATGTAAAAAAATTAATATTTGATATTTATCAGATTCATCATAAGCTTTTTTTTTCTAGCAGAATGACATTTTATTAATCATTTGAACTTGGTATTGTAAATTGCTTGATTTAAAGTAAAAAATCTATGTGTTAACAAAATTTAGTTTTAAATGTATTTTTATAATTCAGCCCGTCTTTTAAATAGAAACTATTTAAATTATGTATTATTCATGTGTGTATGTAGGAGAGGACTGGGCCTGTGCTGCTTAGAAGGACCAATATATGCTGTAGGTGGGCTCAATGATAGCAGTTTCTTTGCTACAGTAGAAAGATATGATATCAACTCCGATAGTTGGAGCACTGTAGCTAGTATGAACACACCACGAGGAGGAGTTGCTGTTGTTGCACTTAAGGTGAGTACTTAATACTTTTTTTTTCAAGTTGGATAATAATTCATGAGACAGTAAGCAGATTAAGAAGTAATGTTAGATTACTGTGCTTGAGTTGGATAACAATACACTAGACAGTAAACAGAAAAAGTTTTTTAGTTTACTGAGCATCATTTGGAAGTATCATTAATTTGCTTGAATTGGATAGCATTTCACTGAACAATAACATATTAAGAAGTTGTTTTAGGTTACTGAGCTTGAGTTGGATAAAAATTCACTGGATAATAAAGAAATTAAGAAATAATTTTAGATAACTGAGCTTGAGTTGAATAACAACTTACTGGATAATTAAGTAGAGTGAAGTCTAAATGTATGTATTAGTACGTATACTTCTGAAGTACATATCAGCACCACTTGTAACTATAGTTGTGTCATCTTGTCCATGAGAGTGATATATATTCGAACACTGTTTTAAACTGAAATATTACTGTGCTTATTTTCATGTTTCAACCCTTCCTTGCTTAGAACTATTGGAAATAATATATTTAATTTAAGATTCCAGGATATTTATGCTCCAACAGAAATGCTGTACCGAGAGAGCAGGAATAGTTTGTTACATTTTGCAGTGTAAATATGCACTAAAAATATTATTTCTCTTTTTTTTTATAGTAAAGTCAAAACACTAATACAAAAAGATAAAATCAAAACTAATGACCTTCAAATTTTATTTATTCCACACAGTTTATAAAAATATAGTAGTTTGTCACTTCTTTTCAGAATTGCTCAACTCATCATCTGTTAGAGTTAATTGATTTAAATATTTTACCTAAATAAGAATTGATATTTTTAATAACAACATTTAATTGGAGATACTTCTGCTACAACACTTAGCTACTTTCTTTTGTCTGAGAAAAATTAGACATTCTACTCCTCTCTTTTTCTGCCCTCCCTCCTGAATCTGTTTTCTATCTTTGCAACTTTACAATCTCTTAAATCTCATTCTGAGAATTATGAAATGTGTATGCTGATTTGCATACTGTAGGTCAATGTTTTGCTTATGTATTTAATATATAATTGAAGATATATCTAAAATCCTTTAAGATTTATCAATTAATTAAATCAATTCTATTTACACTCTGAGAATTAAGAAATGTGTTGTGATATATCTTGACCTCTATTCCTAGAATCTGGTCTGTTGCCACTAGTTGTGTAAAATTACATCAACCTGACATCTGCATGTCACTTCTACTACATTATATGATCAGATTTTACTCGCAATTTATCAGAGTTAGAAAGTGGGCGAGATTGTTATACTAGTCATATTTGAGCTACATTTTTTACTATTAAAATGTTAATTTGAAAAACATATCCTAAACTCTACCATAACATGCAACTAAAGTCACCACATTACAATCTATAGTGAAAAGAAACAGAGAAAGGAGCCTGATGCCTCTGAAGTTAGAAAAATTGTGGACCTGTAATATTGGTCTCACAGAATAGTGTTGATGAGGAATTATATCTTTGTGGTCACGAACAATGTTGAGAGTAACTTACCTTAACAACATGGTGAGAGGGTTAAGAGCCTGACTGATCAGTCATAGCAGTCAGAACATACACATTCCATGTAGACTTTTCAATCACACATAAAGTAGTCTAAAGTCTACTCATTTAAGCATTCAAAAATGAAGCTGTATAATCTCAATTGATGATTACTAGGATCATTGCATTGTGGAAAATGACCAAGAAACATGCCATATTTTGACCAAATCAGATCACCTTAAAAATAGCTATACTAAATCATAGTCATAAATAATTGGGAGTGAACTGTACTCTCCACCCCTATCCTAAAACGTAGTCAAGCACTAAATATGCACCTAACAACCCAGACCAAATATCATTCCAGGCATAATGCTTCCTTATGAGGCTATTGGAAAGTAGGTAATCTGTTAAAAAAAAAGCCTGTTCTTCTCACCACAGAAAATTGGTCATCACGCTTTATCATTTGTGTGTTACTCTCCAATTCACATTTTAATATGTAAAATAGAATTGAAATCACTGAAACCCCAGCACCCTTATATCCAAATTTGTGGCTAAGTAGATTTTTATTTGCAAGTAAATCTGAGAAACTTTCTGAACCACAGTTGCTCTGAATGGCAACATGAGGGAAATAAAAATTCTATTTCCATAAAAAAAAAAAGAAAAATAAAATATTTTTTCTGTAAAAGAGTTTCTGTATCTGCCTCACCCAAAAAAATAGCCAATTTTCTAATC